GAGGCTCACTGAGCCATTTATCCCTCCGCCCTTCAATTAATCCCACATGCGTTTATCGGCCAGGTTGGCACAATAAACTAACTACCTCAAATCATATTACAAAGAATTGCACAATCATCACTACAATCAATTTTAGAACATTTCCATTCTTATACGCATTGTTGTTAGCTCCCCTCCCCCTCCCCAACTTCCCCCACCATACCCTCAAACCAAAAAACCAAACTCACTGCCATCAGGTTGATGCCGACTCATAGCAACCCTATAGGACAGGGTAAAGTTGCCCCGTTGAGTTTCCAAGACTGTAAGTAACTCTTTACGAGAGTGGAAGTCCTGTCCTTCTACTGGCTGTACCCCGAGCAACCACTAATCCACACACTGTCTCTATAGATCTACCCAGCCGGGATTTCATATGCAGAAACAACAACAACAACACAACCAACAACAATGACAAAGTAAGAACGTCAGAGAAAATCCTCAATGGAAAACAAGGCAGAACATATGAAAAATGAGCACGAATTCAAGCTGCGTCGAAAGGGAGCGCAAAGGCTAAAAGGTGTTACAAGTTAACTCACTGTATCTGCAGCCGTCCACTTTCCAATGTGCTCTGCATCATGGCAAGGCGGGTCACAGCCCTGCTCCGTGGTCAGCAGACATCATAGCAAACATGCCCAAGGATGCCCTGCCCTCCTGGGGTGTCAGTGTCGTCTGTCACCAACCAGGAAGCTCACCAGAGTTTTTATGGGGTTTCATCACATGATTGATTGAATGATTTCTTGGCCCTGTGATTGAACATGGCCTTCAGCTCCACCCACCTGCCCAGAGGTGGGTCTTTCAGGCCCCATTCTGGGTCAGCTCATCAGCATAAACTCAAGTGTGGTCTGGAGCCTGCCACCTTTCACAGACCCTCCAGTTACTTGGGAAATTCTAAGTCAGCGCTTCTCAACCTGTGGGTCGTGAGTTGATTCATAACAGTAGCAAAATGACAGTGATGGAGTAGTAATGAAAATAATTTTATGGTTGGGGGGTCACCACGACATGAGCAACTGTATAAAAGGGTCGCAGCCTGAAGAAGGTTGAGAACCACTGTTCTAAGGGTTTAGAGGTCCCAGACCTAGAACCTGGAGCCAAGGCCAAGTGGTAGGACTCCTTGGGTAAAGTATAGGGACTCTGGTGGTGGGGCTGCTAACTGAAAGCTCCAAGGTTCTAACCCACCAGCTGAGCCCCTGGGGGAAAGATGGGGCTTTCTACTTCCACAGAGAGTTACAGACTCAGAAACCCACAGGGACAGTTGTACCCTGTCCTCCAGGGTGACGAAGGGTCTGAATCAACTCAAGGGCATGAGTTGGGTTTGGTTTGGTTTGGGGGTTATTCTCATTCTCCCGCCTCAGGAGAGAGTGGGGAAGAAGCTCTGTAGAAGGAGAAGGAGCCGAAGGAGGAGAAGGAGCCGAAGGAGGAGAAGGAGCCGAAGGAGGAGAAGGATAGGAGGAGGGATAAGGATCAGGAGGAAGCTGAGCTCAACTTCAGCCCCAGCTCGACGGCAAAGGGCTGGCCTTTTGTACCCCAGGGTTAAAGGGGGTTGTGGGTTGTGGCTGCCTGCGTGGGGTACATGCATGGGTAGGTGGGTGTTTTGACCTCTGAGACCAGGTGTCCCACATGGCTACAGTTCCCCGAGACAGCAGCGAGCTCTTAGCAGGCAACACTCAGAGCCGCTGGGGCAGGGGGCATTTGCCCAGTGAAGGGGAGTGCACGGGGCACCACCGGGTCTACTCTTGCTGCCGCTGCCGCTGTTTCTGCCCAGGAAGCCCCTGATTCATGACAATCAAGTCTCACATCATTCCCTCCATTCTAATGTCTTCCCTGGCTCATTGTCATCAGCAGATCAGCAGGCCCACCTTCCTAGTGGAAGCTCCCCTGAAACCCGGGCAGCACCGTAGCCACATGTGGGCCACCACCGGCAAACAGGCGGTGGCAGTGCATGAGGCGCATTGGCTGGGAATCGAACCCAGGTCTCCCACATCCTCCCACTGAGTCACCACTTCCCCCTTCTGTATTACTGCAGATGGGAATGGCCACGCCTTTCTTGTTCAGACCGCTCTCTGAAATGTTGGTTCCTTCAATTAGGGAGATAGGCCATAAGCTGTCATTGTATAGGCAGCAGCTGCACCGGAAATGCAGGTGTTCTACCCTGAAGCAGCACAGCCAGTTCCTCACTCCTGTGTTAGAGGAAGAAAGAGAAATGTATTAGAAGGTTCCAGCGAGGAGGCCAGGTGTCCTGGAGGTGCGGTGACTACGCAATCCTCGAGGTCAGCAGTTTGAAACCACCAGCCGCTCCACAGGGGAAAGATGAAACTTTCTACTCCTGTCCACAGTGGCAGTCTCAGAAACTCCCAGGGGCACTTCTGCTTTGTCCCTTATGGTCGATAGGAGCTGGCACTGACTCAATGGCAGTGAGTTTGTATTTTGAGTGAGCTGCCTTGGTGGGGTCCTGTTTGAAACCAGAACACCTGGAGAATATGCACCTTTTACTTTGCAATGTACGCTTTGGGGAGTCCTGTGTAGATGTTTTGCATTGGCTCAGGTTTCAGGGTAACCACAGGAAATAACGATTGACCAGGAGCGAGCAAACAGAGCAATGAGGTTCTTCAAGGCTCAGGTCAGTCTTGGGATGCCTTTATTAACTCTCTAGATAACAGGGCCCCGCTCTTAAGACGGCTCAGTGTAAGCGGGCTCTGTCAGGTGACATCTGCATCCAACCTGCTTGCCTTTGAACAATTTCTAAAATACCATAAAGGTAGATTGAACTAAGTAAAGTACCTTAGGTGACCTGCATTTAGTAAGGGGGATTTTTTTCTAACTAAATTAAGTGAAATAATTTATGTTATATCACCAGCAAGTAGACATCACATATATTTTTATGTCACATTGCTGTTATTGTAGATATTTTTGAAATATCCTTTATGTTCATCTATAAAATGATGATGGATTTTTTTTTTTAACAAAGACATACATACATCATTCCATTTTTCCCCCTTGAGACTATTTTGGTGGTAATATGTCCATAATTGTGTTCCTTTGTTGTCCTATTTATTTTATTGAATGCATTTAAGACATTATTCTGAGATCTGGCTCATCTCTTCACTAGACTGCCAACGGTATCTGTCTATCAACCCAGCAGGCAGAGCTCCCTGCTCTCAGGCCTGGGCCTCCTCTGTAGTCAACCAGCAGCACACATGTCTGCCCACCCTGCATTGGCCAAACTCAGTCACTTGACCACAACTAACTACAAGGCAGGCTGGGAAATGTAGTCCATCCATGGGCTCAGAAATAAAGGAAGAGGTCTCGGGAAGCCTAGCAGTTTGGGGCACTCACTGCCATTAATCAAGTTGATTCTAACTCATGTTCATGGACCACTTGAGTGAATGAATTTCCTATCCCGGGTGTCACCTCTTTGTGGGCCGGGGGTGGGGGAGGAGTGGTGTGGAGGGGCCGAGGTGGTTCTCAGGAAGGCCCCTGAGCCCCCTGTCATGTCTTCTTAGGACAAGCCATGCCAAGACCAAAGCGGAGGCAGCAGAGCAGGCTGCCCTGGCTGCCAACCAAGAGTCCAACGTTGCCCGCACGATGGCCAGGGAGCTGGCCCCAGACTTCTACCAGCCAGGTAAGGCCATCCAGGACACAATGGACTGGGGTGGTGGTGGTGGCGGCACTTTTCTTTGGGTGGGAGGGAAGCTGAGATGCCCGAGTGGGTAATGGACGAATGCTTGTGAGTTTTAGAAGCCGTGAGCGGGTGGTGCTGCATACACGGGGAGGGATGATGCCTGGGGTCTGTGGGAAAGGTACGTCCCAGCTCTCGAGAGGCTGAGCTTGTCAGAGGTTCCCAGCTGTGGGCCGCCCCCCATCCCTCAGGGAAGATAGTGGGGCTGGTGAGACTTAGAGGGGGAAGGGTTTCTGGGTGGTGAGGGGCAGGAGGGCTTCCTCCACTGGCTCAGCAGTTGCAGCCAGGCATTCACTGAGCACTGCCCACATGTCAGGCACCGTGCTGGACTCCAAGGCACATAGAACTGGAGCCAGAATCGAGTCACATAGCCGTGGGGAGGTGGAGGTGGACGGATGGCATTGCGTACTAGGGGTGGGACCTCGGGCAAGTTATCTAACTTCCATAAACCTCAGTTGACTGATGTGCAAAATGGGAGTAAGAATGGTGCCCGCATTTTGGGGTGTGGATGGAATGCATACAAGGTACAGAGCCCTCTTCGGATGTCCACAGTAAGCCCACAGGAACTGCCTGCTTTCCGTTCACAACTGGGATTAAGTTGTAGCAGCATGCTGAGTGCTGTGTGCGGTTATAGCAGGGGCCATGGGGGCTCTCAGGGGCACATACCTGCATCAGGCCAGGCCAGGCCAGGGAAGGTGTTAGAGAAGTCACCTCTCCCCACACACCCCCTGCTGCCACCAAGGACAGGCCATTGGAGCTGAATCTTGGCAGCTGAACAGGAGATGACCAGGTCAGTGGGTCTCAAACCTGACCAGCTTGCTGGGCCCACCCCCAGCCCAGGAGCCTGCATTTCTAACAAGTTCTCAGCGGAGGCCGAGGCTGCAGGCTAGCGTGGGGCCACACTCGGAGAACTTCTGCAACAAGTCTCGCTGGGCGGACGGGTTGGCGTCATCAAGCAGAGGGACAGTAGGCTGAAAGGCACACAGTGGGAGCAGAGTGGTTGCAGGGGCGCTGACACGTTAACTAGATGGCGCGAGTGAGGTGCAGAGTGAAGCGCCTCTGGGCTCTGTGCAAGACTAGGAGTCTGGACGGTGCACTTGAGAGGGGCCTTGGGGACTCGGAGGGAGGAGGTTGAAGGGCCTTTAAAGGGAGGGATATGCTTTGATTAGTTTTCTAGCCATGATCTGGCGGCAGCAGCAAGAGCCGGGAGGGACACGTAGCTGAAAAACCATCCCTCACGGATCTTGCGAGGCTGAGTGGGACGTACACAGGCCATTTCCCATCCCTGCGGAGCTCCCCCTGCTGGTCCCAGGAAGAATGACCATGGCTGGCCCACTGGGCTTTCCCAGGCTCTAAAATTCACTGCCGCCAGTGGATTCCAGCTGACAGCGGACCCCAAAGGACAGGGTGACACTGCCCCTGTGGGTTTCCGAGATGGTAACTCTTTAAGGTATAGAAAGCACCATCTTCCTCCTTCGGAGTGGCTGGTGGTTTCAAACTGCTGACCTCGAGGTTAGCAGCCCAACACGGAACTCCTGTGCCTCCCCTGAGCACTCTGTGACCTTGCGTTTCATCCTTCTATGGTATTTACGAAACAAGTCTCATTTTACAGAGAAGGGGTTGGAAAAGAGTGGCCAGCGTTGAGTTAAGAGCAGAAATTCTAGAGCCCGCCATCCCAGGGTGCTGGTGCAGGCTCTGCCCGTGGTCCGCTGAACCTCAGTTTCTTCATCTGTCAAGTGGAGGTGAATAACTGCATCAACCACGTGTGGCTGTTCAGTGGCTTTGAGTTGATGTATGGCCCACAGGGTCTCCTGGGTTGTCACTTCATGGGGAGCGTCCTTGGTGGTCCTCCAGGTGGTCCCCCAGGTCCTAGCACTGGTAGCTAGGAAACCTTCCATAGAGTTGTTCTGAGTCAGAAACGATTGGATGGCTGAGGGGTGTGGGGGCAATCTATGGGAGCAGATGGTCAGGTGAGCAGATAAAAAACCAAACTCGCTGCCATCAAGTCAGTCCTGGCTCGTAGACACCCCGTGTGGGTTTCCAAGACTGTAACTGTTGACGGGAGTAGAAAGCCCCGTCTTTCTTCCCCGGAGCTGCTGGTGGTTTCGAACTGCCGAGCATGCGGGTCGCAGCCCAATGAAAGCGTCATCACACCAGGTGAGCAGATAGCCAGGTGCTTCTCCCCTGCAGCAGGGGGTGAGGTCTAGCAGTTTCCCTACAGAGCGCTGGACCGCCGTGCCACCAGGCTTCCTCATCGACCTCAAGAGGGGTCATGAGAAAGGTGCATTGGCTTTTGGAGCTGCTTAGAACCGC